ACCTAGATCAGCTTGTGAGTTAACCCGATAAAACCTACTGGAAAATGTTCGGCATAGTACCAGGTATCATGAGTGGCCACTGCCAGACATTTTTAGTGGTGGGGTGTACCCGCCAGACACACAATTATTCCCTGCCCCCTCCCCCCAAAAAATAACAGATCAGCTTGTGAGTTAACACGATCAAACGCATTGCAAAAAATGGGCATAGCACCAGGTATCACGAATGGCCACTGCCAACATTTTTGAGTGTGGTGTATCTACCAGACACCCCCTTATGCCCTTCCCCCTCCCAACCCCTAAAAAAAGAAAAAAAAATATCAAGATTATCTAGTGAGTTCACCTGATGAATGTTACATGACATGACACGTTACATGTAACATGAGTGACCACAATGACAATCAAACATTTGTGGTGGAGTTAACCCGAGGAAACATATCGTTTAGCATAGTACCAGTGGCCACTGCCGAACATTTATGGTGGTGGGGTGTACCCACCAGACATCCCCTTATTCCCTACCACCAGAATTGACCTAGATTAGGTAATGAGTTAACCTGATGAAACTTACTGTGTAAGATGTTCATTGTATAAAGTTTTTATGAATGGCCACCGTCAGACAATTCTGATGGTGGGGTGAGTCTGCCAGACACCCCTTATTCCCCGCCCCAAAATTGACCTAGAATCTAGTAAGTTAACGTGATGAAATAACTGTGAAATGTTCGGCATTGTGGTGGGCAAAGTGATAGAAAACCTCTAGTCCTTTACGGCCCGACACTGATCACCTGTAAAAAGTAGTATTAAACTGAGCACTGCATGAAGGTTTTTGGAAGCACACTTGAAACATCAAAGGTTGTTTTCGTCCATCTGTGTTAAATCGAAAATTTACTTTGGCCCTCCAATTGATTTTTATGCCCACCCCTTCTCAAAATAATATGAGTGGATTTTAAGGATAGAAGTGTAGGGTTAATAAGGGTGGGTGGAGAGCCATGAAATTAGGTTTAGACTGGATGGAAAACGTCAAGGCTGGGTGACTCCACCTCCTCTCCCTCCCCCATAACTACACCCCTGAATTTGCAAAATGTAGGCCTATCATACAATACTATATAATCTTTTATTATTTTTAGTAGTCAATATTACAACAGCTTAACAATGAGATTCTATACAGGATTGAAAGTTTATGAATGCCCAATATTCAGTACGAGTAGATTTCCAGTACAAATAAAAATTGTAATGGAACTTGGTTTATTCCATTCGTAGAAGCCTTTTGATAAAGAAAGTGTTCCTTTTTAGGAAGAGTTGCCTCGGTTAAAACTCACTCGGACTATATGAAATTAATTATAAGCTTGAATTGTTAATCTTAATGTAAGGAATACTACAGTAACTTCACGTTTAATTTTAAGTTGAATTGTACAAAATTCAAATTAAATGTCGTAAGTATATAGTTTGTCTATTTGCCAAATTTGCTTTAGACAAATCTAAAAACTTTTTTATTACAGGAATGTTAAACTTGCCTTATTAAGCACTACCAAGTGAGCAAATAAGGCAATTTTAACATTCCTGTAATAAAAAAGTTTTTTCTAAACCAAATTATGCAATTAGGCAAACTATATACTTACGACATTTAATTTGAATTTTATATAATTCAACTTGTAATTAAAATTAAATGTGAAGTTACTGTAGTATTCCTTACAATAAGATTAACAATTCAAGCTTATAATTAATTTCATATAGCCCGAGTGAGTTTGAACTTAGGTAACCCTTCCTAAAAAGGTACACTTTCTTCATCAAAAGGCTTCTACGGATGGAATAACCTGTTCGTTGAAGCACGAACTCCTAAACCCAGTACTATTACGATTTTTAATTGTAGGGAAATCTACTTTACTGAATATTGGGC